AATTTTTCAAAAGATTTATTTGAGTGTCTGTATTTTATTTTCCCTGCAGTTGAACTTTGTAAATTTTTTGTGCATCGTCTTTCCGCCTATGCATTTTTATTAAGTGATTCTCCATAGCTTGTATTCAAGTATCGTTTGTAAATAATAATCCTTATTCAAGCTCTAATATTGTTATTTTATACTTCACTATCCTTTTCCAATAATTGCCTTTCTTGCTTCTTGCATGCAGCATGGCCAGTTCATTTCCCTAATTTCGATGCGATTGCATGCAGTAGTCCTCACAGTTGTCTGTCAGACTTTTCAAAGTTGTCAAATTTCTGCAGAGAGCAGTGAAGAAATTCCTAGGCATAGTTTCTTCCGCAGCTCATTGTGAATACAGGTATTACTCCGATTTGTAACATACTGGTTTCGATCCATAGGGGCTAAACTCACGTTTTACGTGGTGACTTAAAAAAAAATTGTATCCATTAAGAGTAGAGTTTGGCTTAAAAAATATTTTTACCGTAAAGATCGCACCAACAGTTTTTCTTAAGGCCATTCCAACAAAAAGGATTTGAAGATTCTTACCACTAATTTAACTTCGGAACTCATATCTGCCATGCATCCCCCACTTTTTGAGGTTCTTTCATTTCACCATTGTAAACACTCCACAGCACGTTTTAAACACTTTTAATGCAGTAAACATACCACAAACGATTTTTTTGCGGAAATGTCAACTAGAAGGCCTACTGATTGAGGAACAATAAACCGCGAAATCTGTAGTTTGGCCGTTTTTGAGAAAATGCGATTTTTCGCTTTATGGGCGGGAATTTCGAGTCAAGGCGCTGAAAAAGTCAAGTTAGGCTGCTTTTGCGGCTCGAAAACACATATCCTATACATTTTTAGTCAATCAAGTGTCAGTAGATAGCTATTCGTGCATATTGCCCAAAATTCATATCTTTAAATCCACGACTTTCGGGTTTTTGGGGGGTTAGTCAAGGAGAATAAATCCGAAAAAAAGAGGGTTAACCCGGAACAAATTGCGTAACAAACTTTTCCTATGTAAACGTCTTCAGTAGGTCCTATTGAAGAACATACCAAAAGTTTACTACGGTTCGATCCCGGAGCATCCCCCCAAATTGCCTACATTTCAAAATGGCGACCATCATAAGGCCTCTGGGAGTTCGATTTTTTAAAAATACGCATACAGTGTCATGTGTGATGTCGATTCCAATGTTATTTTGGTCGTAGATTTCAGATATGAAGTCAAAAAAGTCTCCCGGTCAAAAGGGGGTACCCCAAGTCCAAAATGGCAGTCAATTTTGAAAGACAAGAGGGTGGATTTTTAAAAAGTTCGCGTTATAATGCAAGTGAGGTATCATTTCTTATGTAATGTTGGTCATAGATTTCATTTATGAAGTCATAAAATCCCTCAAGTCAAAGGAATTGCTCCAAATGCCAAGATGGCGGCCAGATTTGAAAGGCAGGAGCAGAGACAAGAGACCCTCCACTGGCCTCCTAGCGACAGGTGGAAGCTTTTACTTTCGGGGTTTCAACAATTCCTTATGGACAATTACTAGGGAGCAACAGTCATCATCCTAGTTTTGGCTGTTGACTTACCTACATGGTCAATGATGAGCTTCGGATGACGTCATGAGCCAAACAACTTTCCCAAACGTCGGCTATTTTCGGCTTGTTTGCAAAACGAAACTGCCAATACGTTGTTGAACATCAACCATGTAGGTAAGTCAACAGTAGAATGCTGAAGTCTCAAAAGTAAAAGCTTCCACCATGGCCAAGATACTAGTGGAGGGTCTCTTGTCTCTGGGCAAGAGGGTGAATTTTAGAAATGTTTACGTGACATCTCTAGTAAAAGTGAATCCACCTGACGTCAGGCTATGTTTCATAAACTACCCTGAGTCAGACTGATATCAGCCTGAATTATTCACCCTCCTGCCTTTCAAATCTGGCCGCCATCTTGGCATTTGGAGCAATTTCTTTGACTTGAGGGATTTTATGACTTCATAAATGAAATCTATGACCAACATTACATAAGAAATGATACCTCACTTGCATTATAACGCGAACTTTTTAAAAATCCACCCTCTTGTCTTTCAAAATTGACTGCCATTTTGGACTTGGGGTACCCCCTTTTGACCGGGAGACTTTTTTGACTTCATATCTGAAATCTACGACCAAAATAACATTGGAATCGACACCACACATGACACTGTATGCGTATTTTTAAAAAAATCGAACTCCCAGAGGCCTTATGATGGTCGCCATTTTGAAATGTAGGCAATTTGGGGGGATGCTCCGGGATCGAACCGTAGTAAACTTTTGGTATGTTCTTCAATAGGACCTACTTAAGACGTTTACATAGGAAAAGTTTGTTAAGCAATTTGTTCCGGGTTAACCCTCTTTTTTTCGGATTTATTCTCCTTGACTAACCCCCCAAAAACCCGAAAGTCGTGGATTTAAAGATATGAATTTTGGGCAATATGCACGAATAGCTATCTACTGACACTTGATTGACTAAAAATGTATAGGATATGTATTTTCGAGCCGCAAAAACAGCCTAACTTGACTTTTTCAGCGCCTTGACCCGAAATTCCCGCCCATAAAGTGAAAAATCGCATTTTCTCAAAAACGGCCAAACTACAGATTTCGTGGTTTGTTGTTCCTCAATCAGTAGGCCTTCTAGTTGACATTTCCGCAAAAAAATCGTTTGTGGTATGTTGACCGCATTAAAAGTGTTTATAATGTACTGTGACTCCCTTAAGACAAGTTTCTGCCAAGTCTGGATTAGAATTTTTTAAAATGTTTTTGAGTAAAACTTGAAGGCAATCATAATTTGAAATATCAAAAGCATCATCAGTTATAATCAAAAACTATTAAGTCCATTCTCTGATGACCCTTCGATTCTGTAAGAAAGTTCACCTGCCAGGACCCAATCGGAAATGGACATGTTATGTTCCCAACTTTAAAAATTCCCATAAAGAACTACCCACATTGTCTTACCTAGGACATACGGGTAGAGGCAATCTAAGTAGGGGGAAAATGACCCTGGAAAATCCTCAGGATCCTCCATGGGAAAGATGACATGAACGGAAATCCGAAAAGTTTCAAACCTTTTTTGCATGTATCCTCCACAAAGATGAAAACCGTTCAGAATCTGATCAAAACAAATTCTTTTTGTAATTCTATGAAAAAGCATCCTGTCAACTATCCTTTTTTAAACGCAGATCCAGATAAGAGAATGTGCCTTGCAAGATCGCTTCTGGGTTGTAGTACAATTTTGAACGAGTTAAAGTTTCCATCCTGGTACGAAAGGAACTCGGGAATATTTCAGAAACCAAATTTGAGTTATGATTTTGCACACAAATAATTAAATTAAAACTAAATCACACCCTGTTTGCCTTTATAATTCAATTTTTGAGGAGTTATTGAAGTCTTATTTGGAAGATAGGTTTACAAGGTCAAATTGCTGCAAAAGGAAAAAGAAAAATACCCGTTGGGACAAAGTTTTAGGGCATTGAAATTTCAAGCTAAAAATTAAAGGTGTAGGTTGACTATTTTAGATCAAAGACATAACGTGACAGATCAAAAATTTTAATTTCTCATTTGTGTCCAATATCTCTTAAAGTGGAATCATTTGATTATTTTATGGTTGAAGTTCATTTCATTTGCTGTCAAAGTTCCAACTTACATCCAGGTATAGTAGCTTTTTTGAAGCTTTCATATTCCTGAAATCGAGGGAGGGAGAAGAAACCTGTTAATCTCTTGAATCTTTGTGTCTTACAAAATAAGGTTTTTCCTCTCGGAGTCTCCTCACATTCAAAGCACATTTTCAGTAAGGGGTGCAGCAAATTTTGTTTGCCTTCATATCATGATATCTGGCCTTGTTTATCAGGCACAAACTTCAGTTTTAGGCATAATGGTGCTTCTCATCTTAAATGGTATCATAAATTTTAGAAGTAATTCATCTTTACTCAACATGGAAAGCTTTGCAGAATACGTTTTATTCAGTTGTTCGTTTTTCACTCACTGAAGAAAATATATATAGCGGAAAAGCAGAGAAATTTTTCTTGCACAGTAATAAATTGTTAGAATGGGTATAAAGCAAAATAACCAGTGGCATAGAAGAAAGGTAAACCATTTATGATTCATGGCAAGAAAAAAAATAATTCATCGAATTTTATCGTAGTGTCAGGTCTCAAAATCGATAATATGCCAATAGGGTTTATCTCATTCAAAATTGAAAGAATTTAAGATACCTAAGTAACTAAGGATAAAAGCCTTTCTAAGAAAATGGACCGAGTGGCAAGTTGCAGAAAAACAAAACGCAGGTATGAAGAAACTATCTGGGAAACAAACCTTTTTTTTTAAAAATATCGTTTCAATGCTACTAAGTTATGAAAACATTGTCTCACCACCAGTGCGATTGGTAAGAAGTCTTCTTTTTATTAGTTACTTCTATTTTATTTTCATTTTTTTCAAGTTGGGGGAATCAGGGCATTGACCCATCACAACAATCCACTAAATTAGTATATTAAGTACAATTTATGAAAAACATGATTCAAAGTTCAAAGTGTATGATACTGATAAAAACATATTTTCCTTCAAAAGTTAAAGTCCAGTTTCAGCCTCTTTTCAATGTCTTTCTTTAACTCTCTCATGGAATTTTAGAGCTGTGTAGGCGTATGCACCATTTTTTTCTCTTTTTTTTCAGTAGATTGTAAACTGATGATTATTATTGACTTCTATTCTTTTCACTACCTAACATCTTTTACTCGCCAGTTTTTATTTGTTGTCACTCATTTGATATGAAAAATTTCTAAACATATTTTCTCAAGCTAATACTATCCAGTTATCAGATCATTTCACTTGTGTAGAATCTGATTCTGGTGCAGACAATTTAGTAATTTTAGTGAGTCCCAAACCTACCAAAAAAATTCCAATTTCCATTGAATAAGCGTCACCCTCTCTCTCTTATTTCTTTTCTCTTTGTTCAATTTCAGGTTATGCTGCAAGTCCTGGTATTACGACGCCCACAAAAATTTCTGCAATGAATATTGTTGGCGATCTCTTACGCAAAGTTGGGGTGAGTGTTTTTATTTCTTATGTTATAATTTACGTATCATTAATTCATGCATTGTCAGTCATTTTGTTTTTATTTTTTTATGTAGCATTTTGTACAATGCTCTGAGTTCGTTACAAGGTAGGCTTTCGTATCCCCAAACCTGATAAAGATTTAGGTGATAATAACTTTTTTCCCGCGGAGAAAGCAAAAAATGCTTTCAGTCTGACAAACATTTTAGTGAGAAATGAGTTGTCAGCTGCATTACTGATTGCTGTACTGCAGTCTTGCACCTGTTTAAGTCAGTTTAGGATCTTGATTCCTTTAGATTCAGATTGGGGGAGTTAGAAATGTGATTATTGTTCATGTACAAGCCAAAATAAACTGAGCGGATCCCATGTTTAATTGCTTATTTAACCGTTGATTTTCTTTGTAAATGTATTAATTTTATCCAAAATTATGAAGGATACTCATTTATCATGAATTTAGTTCATAACCATTGTAAAAATTCAAAAAAATTTTTGACTTCCCCCAAAATTCTTTTTTAGAAAAAACCGTTTTTGAAAATAAAGTCTTATTTTGACCCTAAGGACTCGCTCCTGCATTCTCGCCGTTTAGCTCTTGGACACTTTGTATATCTAAGTGTTGGTATTGATACGTCACTATTTTGGTCGATGCACTGTGGGCCAGAGGTGCTGGTTGCGCGAGAATAATTGATATCTCGGCTAAATCCGAACGAAAATCACTAAGTTTTAATTTGAGGGGGTTTTTTGGGTCGCTGAACTCGAATTTGATATCAGATTTGTTCAAAAATTACAAAAAAAGTATTTTATGTGGATTTAAGCTAGTCCGGTGATGATTCCTTTTTTCGAGCAATCGCACTGGGATTAGAAACCATTTCAACGCTGGAGAAACTTTCAAAAACAAAATTGAGAACTTGAAAGTGGCCAAGAAGAGTCTGGAAAATGATCTAATATTGTTAAAATTAGAAGAATAAAAGACGAGAATGTTCACAGAGGAACGCTTCATATGTTAATTTTTTTGTTCTGTATTTATTTGTCACTGTCTCCTCGCTTTATTGCTTCTTGTAGGTTACCATGTTTAAATGAAAAGAATAATTTTGTTAAGTAATGCCCTGCATGGTTTAACGATTCTTTGTTTTGCTGTTGTAAGCTATCAAGTTGATACTGACATGATTGTCAGAGGATCAAAGAGGCATTCTATGAATTTTCTTCAGAGGCGCTAGGCATGAGAATGGACAATAATTACTTACAACGTTTAATGGAAATGACGGTCAGCTGAACAGTATCTTTTTACCACTCTTGCATTTGGTGCAACATTCTTGGACTTAAATCAATTCCGCCCAAATGTTTACCAATTATCGGCTAAGCTCAAAATTCAGAAATTTAAATAATAATAAAAAAAAAAGAAAAAAAAAGTTTTATACCAAACCAGATCTGAATTCAAATATCCACGGACTTGCCGTCGATTGAGCTAGTCAACAATAGCAGCTTTTAGTGCGATTGAAATCGTCAATACATTTGAGAAGCACAAAAACCGTAGGCGAGTTGCTGTGATCGTGTGGTATGTGAAAAGACACAATTACATTTAGGAAACCAAACGTCATAAGTGAAGCAGCAGGAAAAAATTTGCCTTAAGGTTAACTGTGCCATGGGTTAGAAGGGTTAGTTCTGCATTAGTTGGCACAAAGATATAACTGAAAAATTCCGAAATTTGACCACTTTGCAGCATTTAAAAGTCCGAGGGAGAAAAACAAGTTTTCCTAGTAAATAGCAGTTAAAGTTTGTCTGCACTATTACGTATCTTAAGGAACGATCCACCTTAAATGCTTACATTATTAATAACGCAAATCATGGCTTGAAAGATTGACCCAATGCCCTTCAGAATATTACATGAGGAATTATCATCATCGAAAACTAATGTAGTGTGGGTTTTTTTTTACCCTCTAACTGTTTTCTGATGTACTAAACAATGGGTCTGTTGCACCTATTTTTTTTAATTCATTTTCTAATAAAGTGCATCATTTTGAGCTTCATGAATTTTTCCCAGAATTTTTGGACCACCCAAACACCCCAAAAATGCTCATAAAAGTTCAAAAAATTTTGGCGGGAAAATTTAAAACTACAAATGACGGGAGAGTGAAGCCATTTTGTGACGTCACAACCAACACCCCACGTTTGTTTATTTTACAAATACACGAATTTCCCCATAAGGAATCAAGAGGCAAATTTTCAAAAGGAATTATCAGACTGTTGGAGGCCGTATTCATCAAATTTTCTTGCGATAATAGACTCTTTATACTCCCTAGTTGATAAAAACATTCCTAGTAAATAAAAACATCCCTAGTTACTTACAAATCGCGTCAGATGATTTAATTATTTCCGATGTATCAAAGCATGTCACGAAAGTGAGGTTATGTTTACAATCTTATCTGGGATACATATAAGTCCTCTTTTCATGGTAAAACTCTCATTTAGTTTTGAATGTACTCTGAATGTAGTTTTAGGTTCCTTATTCCTAGAAACTATCTGCCGTGGCATGATGCAGCTTTCTGAATCTGATTCATTGGATATTGGATCCTTAGATTCTACTTTTTTGCATGAAATGTGTCTCGCTCAGCTGCGCTAGCCGACTAGCTGAGGGACAACGTACTCATTTGAAGATATTTACTTGTTTAAATCTGTCTGCTCATAAGTAAATAAGTTGAAAATACCATTAATTTTACATAAGGTAAGATTCTCTGCCAACCAAGCACCAGCTATGAACTGTTGGAGGTCCTTAATCACCCGCCCGGTTGAGGAGTTATTACCCCTCCGATCAGTCCAGTGCCTGTTTGGATGAATGTATGGTATTTTAATAATTACTTACAACTAATGATGCAAAGAGGATTTACAAAAACTATACAGGTATGATATCAGGGGTAAATATTTAAGTCAATAGTTTCCATCATATCTTTAAAACTTCCAATGAAAGATAGCTGTTGCAGTAAGTGCAGGACAGATTAGGAATACCTCACTCATACATCATTTGCACTGAAATACTGGGACCGTAAGTCATCATTAAGAGTCAAGTAATGAATAAAAACTTGGTTTTACACAATATATCCAATACATGCGTTGATGTATTTGAGCAAACAGCATTAACTTGACCAGCGAAACCCCCTAAAGGGAGACATACATAACCACACTTTCGGGACTTCCTTACATGTATTAAGCTTTTATATGATGCGATTTTAACACATTCGTAGATAAAGTTGTAAAGTAGAGGATGTGAAGAACTGATATCTGCAAGAAAATTTGGTGAAATAAGTTAAATATTGACCGAAATTCGTTTTAGAAAAACGACTTTGGATACCTCATGGTATGGGGAAAGGGAAACACAGGTGCGTCGAAACGGCGGGAAATAAGATTGCAAGTTGTGGCGTAGACGACCAATGAGAGGCCTCGGTTGGAACTTTGAACTTTATTTAGCTTCTGCAGCTTTAATATCAAACTAAGAGTGTTTTTAACCACACCAACCGTTTTCTCGTGAAAATTTACATAGGATTGGCTCATTAAACTCCAAATCCCTCCTGAGTGCAACAGACCCATTTCAGTTTTCATTTAAAGGCGCATTTTGTCCTGCTGCGTCACATATAATACCCGTATGGTAGTATTAAGAATTTCACTTACGGAAAAGAAGAAAATTATGAAAGACAGAATGACAGACAGATTTATAATGTCGTCTCATCTGAGAACCTTTTTTGCACTTATTAAATACGAAAAAATGTGGCAACCATGGAAAAAGTGCGCACCCTCAAAAGCGTATCAACTCAATTTCATACTATTATTACTATTCACTCGGAAGAATTGATTTACTGTTCGATATCTAATACATATATGTGAAACAAGAACTTAATCCTATTTTTGGTGAGTCAACTTTTTTTTAAAAAAAATTTAAAAAATGGGTTTCCCGCAGTTTCCCGCAGCAAAGCTGTGGTGCAAATGAATGTTGGGGATTTGAAGAAAAAGTATCTGGCGTTAAAACTCTAAAGAAACTTAAAGAAAAAACTGCAGAAAGCTTTTTCGATGGAATTTTTAAGATTTATTAGGCACATTTTCTAACAAGCTTTTTGGACAGTGAAAAGTGCGCAATGAAAAAAGTGTATACATCAAATGACAGCTCTTTCTTAGGAGAAGAAGTCCTAGTGAACAAATTTTCATCCTGCACAACCGCTGAGCGGTGATAAGACCTTACACGGTTGCAGTTCAGGACGCGCTTCCATATATTATACGTGGAAAGTGAGAGGTACCCAAGTTCCCCCCTCCAACATATCGCTGTTGGGCGATTATTCAATGAAATTTTGATGAATCCTTATCCCTTAGAGAGGCCTTTTAACGAATTCCTCATCATTAATACAATACTGGACACTCTTAAAAACGGTATTTTTACCTTAAAAACGGGCCTCCCTGGCCCACAGTGCGATGCCAAATCTCATATTCACATTCTGACTGCTAAAATTATCACTGAACTGAAAATCAGCAGTGTTTGTTCTAAAACACCTCTCAGCTACAGCCTTGATTTTCATTCGTAAGTGCAGAGACTGGACCCCTCAAAGGACCTAGGGGTTTTTCTATAAATATCCTAAAGAAGCTACTTTTTATTCTGATGCAGAACTAATATCCTGATTTCATTCTTGAAAGCAAGTTTCTAAAATAAAAGGTCCTCTCCTCCCTCACCCCAGAAGTTTTATTTTTTTATTTCATTTATTTTCTTTTCCAAATTATGTATAATATTCAGCAAATTTTGTCACTGAACGTAGTTTAACAGCGCTCCTGCTTTTTCCGATGAAAATAATCAATTATGGGAAACTTTCTCTTGCACTGTAAATAACTGTAAGTTTTGCCTCTTTCACACGATGACATTTTACCTGCCTGTTTTTTAAATCTGCTGTAATCTGTAAATTTCAATATTTATGAATGCCTGGGTATTATTTTGTCATCAAATTTTATCATAGATTCATT